TCCCAGATTGGTATGGAGGGCTAGTGTGACCCTAAGCTTATAGATAAAGCAAGGAAAGGAGTTAACCGGGAAGCTGGTAGGGTGGATAGGCAAGGTTTAGGTTCAGTCATATCGCATTTGAAGATTAGAGTACCTAGGCCGGAGTTATATTGGCCTGATGGTGTTCATTTGTCTGACATGGGGTTAGAAGTTTTCTTGGACGCCCTGCAAGGGGGCTGTAAGGCCAAGATCTCTGGCTTGGTGGGGGGCATGGAGTATACGTTCAAAATTGGCATTTAGCGGGTGCCGAGCACCCCTCCTCTCAAGTTGGGGGCATTTAGAGGGTGCCGAGCACCCCTCCTCTGAAGTTGGAATTAGCAGAAGTTAGCTTAGGGGAGGGGAAGCAGGGTACACCTGTTAATTCATGCCCGGGGCATGCTGTATAGTAGAACAGCACGCTTGCAGATTAGGAATTCACGGAACAGAGGTCTGGAACCGAAAGTCAATTTAGACTACGGGCACAGACCAGTATTGCACTACGGTAGGCCCCCTTGTGAAAGGGGAATTAAAGCTTAAAAGTTAATAACATTGTGGCCTGGTTACCCTGTGTTATATGTCTCTGCTCTTTATTCCGGGCTGAGCGGGCAAATGCTCTGATGGCTAAGAATGCATTAAAAGACTCAATGACACTTCCTGCCTTTATTGCAGGAAAAAGACAGAAAACATAAATATGTTGCAGAGGTCTAATGCTATGAATTTCAAAGCATATCCTGCTGTTCCTCCAAGGATCTCAAGTTGACATATGTAACATACTGTCTTCAGCATGTCTCTGTCTGAGCACATGAGCACACTATAGGGGAAAAAAACCACCCAGCCTTGGGCTTACCTCTTACGGCACCTGCAAAAGATCTCATCAGGAAAGACAATACGTAGATTCCTTTCTTGTCCCTTTACTTTCCATATTCTAATTTCTTTTTCATCTAGACAGCCTGTCTGCCTGTTTGCCGTAATTTGTTGATCACATTTGTCAGTCAGTTTTGCTTAAGGTAAAATTTTGAGACAATGTTGCATGTTTCCATTTGGCAGCATTGCTGAGACATCTTGAAAGAAGCAAGAAGATTTTTTATTTGACTAGCAAAATCTTAAGGGGGAAGGAAGGAGAGGTGCATCCATGATTATCCAAACATTCCCAGGGACCAGATGAGGCTCACGTTCGCAGTGGGGGGAGGTATGGTGTCTCACCCCCAAATGTCAGGATGGCATATCTCCTTTTGTATGTCCTCTGAAAACCACCAATGTTGCTTAACATTGCATTTTGAGGTGGATTGATATCATCTTCATCAAGTGAAGCATTCCTCAATTTTAGAAAAAAAAAATTCTGTGCAAAGACACACACACACACACAAGGCCCTTTGATGGCTGATCAGGAATGTAGGCCTACCCTTCCCCAATCCTCAGCCAACAAAAGAGTCACTTCTCTGTATTAAAGGCACAGAGAGCGAAAAGGTTGTGAAAACTGCGGAAAACAAAAGATACCAACTTCTTAGTTTGCTCTCTCCTTGTGTCTTAATGAAAACCTGCCTCTTGAAGTGTTACGGTACAGTGGAATTAAAATAATCACGGCAGGGTACAGTTCCCACATTGACTACAACAAGCTGCTATCTATATTAAAGATATATCAAAGCTACAGCCTGTTATTAAGTTCTCAAAGTAGAAAATGAGAGATGCTGACACGTACCCCCTCCAAAAAAGAAGCACAGTGGAAGGCAAGGCACGCAGATTCTTGGCTGCATGTTTCATTAATCATAAAGCCTCTAAATCATCCATATCATTCCTTTTTGCATCTCAACACCGCCCGGTAGATTACAAAAATCTGCAATACTGAGTGGGCGGGGGAATGTGACAGTTGACTTATTTTTATATTCTGGATTTTATCCATGTACTCTTCACCTACTCCACTCTACTCTGTGAGAGGAATATAAATTATTTGATCCAATTGCCACACACATTGTTTCATTTTTAAACTGGAATGGTGAGGAAAAAAGTAGAAGAACTCCTTCTGAAGGTAAAATCGTAGCACTTGTGAAAGGTGGAGGTGAGAATTTAAAGGGTGCAGGTGTGCTCTTTATGTGACGGAGAGTCACAAAACAAAAAAAACCCTCTCTCTTTTAAAAACTGCCTAGAGTGGCCTTTTAGGCCAGATGGGCGGGGTATAAATAAAAGAATAAAAATAAAAACCAAAACCTTCAATTTTTAAATAAAACCTAAAGCTCTTTGGGAGATACTGTCCCTTCAATGGTCATGCACTTGTTTGTCATAAATCCATTAATCCATTTCTGCCAGCTAGCAACAAGGAGTGAAAAAAGGAAGGAGGCTCTTCTTTTGTCTCTGTGGAGCCAAGGACTTCATCTAGAAAACCATCTCACAGACAATCAGTGGTTAGGAGGCAGTCTGCAGTATGATGAGAGCAGAGGTGGACCTAATTAATATTGCTGAATGATAATTCCCACCACCATTGAAGAAGCGAACACATGGCTGAGAGGAACTGGAATTCCAGAGAGTTACAAGCTCCCCAGTCCAGTTTGGTACCCATGGGGCGCACAAATAGCTATTTGCAAAAAATGAACCTGGAAAGAGCCCAGCCAGATATAGTGTTGTTACAAGGCTGACTTCAGAAGTCAGTTGCCTCAAACTGTGGCAGTTTGGACCAAATGTATCACTGATAATCCTGTTATGAGGGCCCTAATCTGAAGTAAACCAGGTATAAAACAAACTGGGATTCTCTCCTGGGTCTATGCAGGACCACCTTTCTTGTGCACATCTGTGAGTGCAGTGGTGGGGAGTGTAAGGCTTCATGAATGCACACTTCAAAATCCATCCATCTGAATGAGGCTAATGAGGCTTTATAGTGATTAACTTACATCCGGCCTCCTAGTTTTTAACCAGCCCCTTTGGAAGCTCAATGTATGTAAAAAATGAGAACCAGCAGTTGACCTCCATTGTCAGTCTTAATGTGTAGTTGGCACATAACTTTTGATCAAATAATAAATTCTCCAGGGACACTGACAACATCTATTAAAATATTTGCTCCCTACCTACTGTATCACTTTGAGAAAGAAGAGGTTCTGTGAAGTAGAATGAAGTGGAGTGGTAAAATGTATAGACCATGAAGCCCCCAATCTAGTTGGAATACCACCTCAGCAATGAAGTCACCACGGCTTTTCAGAAAGGAAATCTAGAATGGCCCATTGGTGCATGATAAGTCATGAGCTGCATGTTCTTACAGCATATCTGTACATTTCTTTAATCTGCCCACACCTTTTTTTTCTCACTTTGAATCATACAGTACTTCAAGACATTTCAAGACCTACACAGGGTGAAAATCCTCTGAACTGGGAAATTGACAGCACTAGCACAGTAGAATATTATAGTTAAGCTTCACATCATGATCTGCATTGAAGTATTATTTAGAGTGAGGGAAATTTAAATAAGGAACAGACCCTGAAATAAAACCTGCAGAAAAAGAAAAGCAACAAAGCAAAAGCAGAAAGAAAAACAGAGTAAAACATGCCCGCAGGCCTTAGTGTATGTCCTTCCCACTATGCAAGTCCTTCCAGGAAAGCACTTTCAGCCTACATGTAGTATTTATCAGAAGTTCTATAGTGGCTAGAATCTTACTGGTTGATTACACTGGTATAAGACCAATAGAAATAAATTGCAGCACAGCAATGCTGCTGGTTAACAAGATGCTGTTCCTGTTCCTCCTAGTACTCTAGCCCGGTGAGTTTGATGTGCAGAGAGACATACAAGCTTTGAATCATTAGAGGCAATTTGCCACCATGATTTATGCTGGTATATTAATTAACCGACATGTGCCTGGGGAAATCCCCTATTTCAAACACTCTCGTACCTACTGCAATTGAAACTTTCTGAAATGGAGGAAGGAAAATTAGGCTTTTCACAGGGAAAGGAAGTTGAAGACATCATTCACTGGTAGTAAAAAATGAAAAAAAAAGGATTACAGTGGTGCCCCGTATAGCGAGGTTAATCCGTTCCGGATTAACCTTCGCTATACGAAAACATCGCTGTGCGGGTAAGCAAAGCCTATTGGAACGCATTAAACTTACTGGGTTTTTTTGGGGGGGGTGTCTTTGTTTCAGTTGCCTGGAGTCACTGATCCTCCCAGCACAGCAGGGGCCAGCGACACCAGTCACCACAGATTCTGGTTGCTAGGCCCTTCTAGGAATAGGAAGTCATGCAAAAGCTTGTTCAAACCCAAAGTATTCAAACAGGGCCGCTGTGATAATCTGTTACGGTTGTGGTTTTACTAATCGGCAGTTCTGTGCAGGTGCTTTGAATATTAGGAAATGGTGCTCTCGGATAGGATGTTCACCCTCTCTTCTTGCACAGTTCTTTGACTTAAATATCATCCTCCTGTTCCTGATTTCTAGTTAGCAACTTCTGTGGTGTGGAGAGAGACAGCTGCCATGTCTCTTTTTTTTATTTCTTGCCTTGCTCGTATATGCGTGACTTACAAGAGTGGGAAGCAAATTGTAAAGCGCACTATCAGACTACAAATATTAAATAGTAAAAGCTGTTGCATGGAGATTAAACAAACTAACAACCAACCAACACCAACATGAGATATGTTTTGTGTGTTTGAATTTGTTCTGAGAGTCTGAAACATGGGTTAGAAAAGGTCAGGGGAGCAGGTTTTGGGGAGCTAGAAGGCCAGAACTGCTGGCCTTCTAGTAATAAATGACTTTCAGCAGAATGAATATTGACATCATGTTTCTTTCTGAATGGAAATCTGGGTGGCGCTGCTATCATTTGGACAAAGTCCAAAGATGGGAAACATGATATGGGTACTCACACACCAGCAAACCTTCCTTTTAGCTATAATTCTGACAGAGATGGAAACTTTGTGCACCAAAAATGGCAGCATGGAATAGGAATCCAGACCTCCAGTGAAGCGAGAGAAGTGAAAGAACTAGGAGGATAAAAAACATCATTTTGATTACCTTTGATACCCTGTTAGCCACTTCTCTGCCTACGGTCAGTCCCTGAACAAAGGTCCGTGCAGCGATGAAAGCTCTGGTCACTTGAACCTTCAGTTTCCTGGGTACATCTCCAAACGGCTTAAGCTGGTCTGTGTATTTGCTCACACATTCTAGATAGTCCTCGGAGAAATGATAGTGGGGGTTTATGAGCTGGAACATTCGCTCTAATAGCCGAGCCCAGAAATCATTCAACATTTCCTCCAAGTTCACATTGCCTCCTGTATAATATCGCTTCAGTTCTATGAAGAGGTCCTGGAACACTTCAGAATTTTGCATGTACAGCATCCCGTACGTCTGTACAAACATATCATTTAAGGATCGCTCTGCATTCTCCAGTAGTTCTCGGAAGAATTCTGTGCCAAAAAGAGAGAGAAGCAAATGTATGAGGAGGGTATAACAATACTTTTATTGGCAACACTGTCAATAATCATAGCAACACTGTAACACATCTCTTTCATCTTCTCACGGACTGCCTTGAAGATGGAATTTGCTCAAATAATTTTGCTGTCTTTTCTTATTAATTTTTTAAGGACTAGCATAGTCCAGTACCTTGAAAGGTTATTCAGAAGTTAATCCTACTGCATTCAACAGAATTTACTTACAAGTTGTATTCATTAATAGTTACTCACAAGTAACTGTGCACATTAAAGTGGCTTAGAATGATTTATTTAAAATTACAGCAAAAATAAAAAGCACTGGATTCTTTCTGAGGATGAAGAATCAGAAATCCATAACTCTAAATGTTCAATATGCTTTTGAGGAAGCTGCTGTGAATGTGTTCATTTATATTTGAGGGATTATTTAAGCGCTGAAACTCCTACCACTTAGACACAATATGTCTAACATTATGGTGTCTTTTGGTAATGGCATGCCATAATCAAAACAACTAAAGTGGAAATTTGTTTAAGAAATGTGCAAGTGAGTGAGAGGGAGAAAGGGGAAAATAATGAGGGGAAAAGCTTAATGAGTTGGAAGTAGAGATGGGCATGAACCAAAAAAACAAACCAGGATGTTCATTAAAAAAAATCACTGGTTTGTTGGTTCGGGTTGGTTCATGTTTGTCAAAAGTCACAAAGCAAAACAAACCAACCAACTTTATTAGTGATTTTTGGTTCTTTTGGTTTGTTTGCCCATTTTCTCCCCTCTCAAACATGACAGCCTGCTCCTGTCAATCAGAAGCACTAGGCAACCCTGGGAGGGATTTAGAGACAAATGGATTGGCAGGTCAGGCAGCCAAATATGCAGCTTAAAGGGCTCTGGGGGACTTGCTTGTTTTTATTTATAAGACCAATTCACAGAAGCCATTTCCACCTCAGAGCCACCTCTGCTAATCAGAGGAACCCTGCTACCTTAGAATCAGATCTCCAGCAGCACATTGCTTCCCTTGTCATGCAGCCTCTGTCTGACCACACAACAACCTCTGTACCTCAGCTCAGACCTCCAATGTGCATTGTTCACGGGGTTTGGGGATAGAGTGTTGTCTTTCTCAAGTCCACCTCCTGATGAGCAACACCCCGTGTCAGGTTCCCTGGCATGAACCACTGCTGGAATTTCGCCCAAGTCAACTGCTAAAGGGCACTTTTCCAGGGGGACCCTGCTTTGAGAGTGTGTAACTTGGATATCTGAAACCCAAACCTCACCAAAATTGGAAGGGTTGTAGAGGAGTGTCAAGGGAAGCACCTCAGCAATTTTGGTTTCTCTAGGTGGCTGGGGGACCTTTCTAGGTATCCCAAACTTCCAAACCAAAAACAAATCAATTTGTGACTCATTTATTTCAAAACATCAACAAACCACAATGAACCACCATTTTGCTGGTTCCCCACCTCTGGTCAGGAGACATGAGTTTAGGAATGATCATTGCAGTCTTCTATACTCCTTCCTAGGGCCTAACATAGGACATAACAGTTGTGCTCAAATTACATCAGGCTATTCCCCCCCCCCCCCAACCTATAGGCATACAGCTCAGTTGTAAGCCCGGAGAATGAGGAAGAGAAATTTATCCTCTCACTGCTGAGGGGAGAATCACATTGTCAAGAGTACCAATGAATTCTATAAAACAGTGATTCAATAGTGATATTATTAATAATAATGTCCAGTAATTCTGACATGGTGCCCCTTCCAGGGCAATTTAGCCTTCTGGGGTTTTTCATCCAAGGCCACACAGGCTGGTTCTTCTGACAGGAGACATACTGGTGAATTGAAATGACTTTGCATCCACTATCTGGCCATCAATGAAGGGGATGGGTGTGTTTGTATGTACAGTATGTGTGTTTGCATGTGCATATGCGTGTGCATGCATGCACACCCAAATTGAAATAACAAATAAAGATTGGACTCTAGGAAGGCAAGTGCCCCCCATACCTATGACTGGAAGTGAAAAGGGAGATTTAAAAAGGTGAAAACTATAATATTCCGAGGAAAAGACAGAGGACAGAAATGAAATTGCCTTCTATTTGGTGCCGATTATATTTCTGCCAGAAAACAACAACACATTCTAGCCAAAGCTATTAGACTACTGCCTGTTTTCATATATTAATACAAAGGCCACAGTTGGCATGGAATAACTCCAACTTTTAATAGAATAAATGAGTCCTTTATTTCCTGCTTAATATTTCAGAGACAAGCTAGTGGCTGTTTCCTATCTGATCATTCGTTAAGAACAGATTTGCTCAGTGCTTTCAGATCTGTTAACACATTTTGCACACAGATAGTTTGCACATGGTACTGAACCAAGAACAGCTCTTCTTTCCTTAATATGTATCATTCATAGGAAAGTCCCCATTTTTACTACCTGTCTCTCAAACAACCAGCTCTGCAAATATTTCTTGTTTTCCCACAAGGTCAGGGTGAAAACTGCACTCATAAAATACATAATTGATGTACAGGATATTGCGTATTTTACATTAAACCAAATACTATGCATTGATGCTTGTGCATGTTAAAGTATTAGGAAACTCCTGCACCAGATATTCTCATTTGTGCTGCCAATTTTTTGGAGGATCCCCATAACATTTGCCTTTTGTCATCTATGTAAATCGATTTAGTTCTTCAATAGAACTGACATTATTAAACTTCCATGCTTAAGACACTGTGACTTCTTTCAAGCAATTCAGTTTCTTTTTCCCATTTTCCATCAGTACTTTACTCCACTTTACTGCAGGAAATGCTTCCCATCATTGTCCCATCCTGCATCCTGCAGGGATTTGTTGCAAACATATATTAGGGAGTTAGCTTTTCTAACGTTTGCTAAAAGGCTAAAGTTTAAAATTAATGTTAGCTTTTGTAAAGTTTACTAAGGGGCTTATGAATTTAAGTGATATGATTTTGATTTTAAGCAACAACCCCACAGGGACCAAGTATGTTTTCTTTCCATTTGTATGTGATGCACAAAAACAATAGAGGAAGTTAAAAAAATCAATGACATAGTCCTGTGATCTGTCCCATATGGGATCATATGCCCCCACCTTAGGCCAGAAAGAGAGCTCTTGCTGAAGAAGAGGAAAACTGAGATAAAATCCTCACTCTGCAGCTTTTAGTCCCCTGCTGTTGGAAATCTGACATTGGGAGTGGTTAAAAACGCATAAGGCGCAATAAAACAAGTGTTTGGCATATTTCTGACATTAGTATTAATCCTCACATGTTCACTTTAACTTCTGAAATAAAATAAATTTGCAAACATTAAAAATTTAGGAGGAATGTATCAAACTGAATGACGACATTCATTATTAAAAAGAAGAAAATTGATAAATGGGTATTTTTATTTAAAGTCATTTAAAATGATTAAAAACAACCAAATATGGCCAGCCTCCTTTATTCCTTCCAAAGCAATGTATTCAAGTAATATAAAATATTAATTTTTACTATGAAAAACTAATATCATTGGTATTTAACCCACAAAATAATAAATTTTAAATTAGCTGTTGAAAAACTGTAATCTCTTAAGTGTAGCCATTTTATTTTTCATGGATTATTTTCAAGTTCTGGTAAAATATTGGGAGATCCTGAGGATGGTATGGGTGGGTTGGGGGAGTGCTTTGGAAATGCAGTATTAAAAGCCTCTCCTTCCCCTCCCCCGCAGCCATTTTGGTGTGTCCCCCTTATAGAGGAACATTTGGACCAATCTTGGAAGCAATGGAAGGAAAATAGTGCTTAAAAACTGAAGAAAACATTTGCAGGAAGAACAGAGAATGCCGTGGCTGTGTCAGAGGACTCCTAAATCAAGCACAGGGTTAAACCATTAAGTTGCAATCGTATATACACTTCCACAAGAGTAAGCCCTGTTGAACTCAATGCGGCTTACTTCTGCAGAGCTATGCCTAGGATTGCATAGCAAATAATGTGCTGATCTGTTTCCAGACAGAATTCCAAATTTCTGATCTTAAACTATATTTAACCTAAACAACTTGGGTTCAAGCTGTCTCAAAGACTCCATATGCCCTCACAGGTGGGGACATGGGACAGGGCCTTCTCTGTTGCTGCTCCCAGACAGACATCCTTCTCCAAGGAGGCCAAGTTGGCCCCATCTTTGCCTAATCCACAATCAGGCAAAGACCTTTCTCTTCAGGTAGGCTTTCCCTTAGCTGTCTGAGTTTTCTTTTTTCTTTTTAAATGGGATTGTTTATGCTTTTATTTTTTCAATATGCTTTTGGTACTGTTTTTATCTACCATGTTAACATTATATCTGTGTAGTTCTTTTTAAAATATTGTAATAATTGATTGTTTTAGCTTTTAATATCGTTTTTTTTAATATTGTAAGCCACCTTGAGTTCTTTCCAGAAGAAAGGCAGGATATCAGTATTTTAAAATTAAATAAAGTAAATAAAG